TTCAAGCCCGACAAGTTGGCTAAAATGCGATGCGGTGACCGAGAATGTGAAGCTTCTGTTCCATCTGCCATACCAACTGCGATAGGAAGCAATAGAAGTGCACACCAGACGTTACTGTCATCTATGTGATGAAGTAACCTCTACTTAGCACATGTTTGTCACCACCTTAACCTTCATCCCAACACAAAACTGAGCGGCCACCAACCGGAATCGACCACTTAATATGCCTGGTTGGAATACCGCCGGAATTTTTCCCAACGGATTTGTCCGCTGTGGAATGTTCTTCCGACCAAAGTGATAGTGCACACACGATGCATTACACAAATTGTATTACGTGATATCATTTCCCCTCATCGACTGACGACAAGGTGCAGACGAACATTGTGCTCACCAGCTCCCACCACGAATCCTGAATAGGTGAATTTACATGCGTGTTAGCCTAGATATCATGGTGCCGAAAAAACGTACTTTTAACTTTTGTATTTCACATAGACCAGGCAAGTAAAACAAGCGACCCGCGGGCCGCATATGGCCCTTTGCAAGCAAATCTGTCCGCACAAGCGATACGGCAATTTGGTCATGAAACGGCCTAAATTGCAGCTTTTATTACCTAAACGGCATAAAAGTGCGTCGTTCATAGAAAAACAGTATGCATCTTCCCCTTCAAAATAGTTATACACCGCTTAATCGATTTCAAAAGCACAACGTAAACAGGAATACAACCGAGAGTTAAGCGAGATAAGACGACTAAAATAGATATGATATTAAATATTAACACCCCAACGATGAAGTCGGCATTTCTTGTTTATGCATATTCTTATGGGATTTGATTAGTTGCATCAGTAAGCATGTTCTGATCTTTCCTATCTCTCTGGGATTTGATTGGTTGTCAGCCGCGCAATCCGTGCTGAATGTGAAGCGATTATGTGCGTGCGACATCACTTGACTGCACGAGAACAAATAACAACGTTCACACGTGCAAGTTGTGATGTTGTTTGGTGTGAAGTGAGTGGAATGGTTTCCTTACAACATAACGAACACTGTTCAAATTTCAAAGATCTTTATAATGGCTAGTGCTCTTCCAGCTAAATACAAAAGGAGTGTAAACGAAGAACGGCAATTGTCCCAAGAAAAAAATGAGAACTATCGTATTTTTACAATAGTGAGTGCAAAGATACATTGGGTAATTTGTAACAGCGGCATTCCATTGCCGCCTATTCTTTTATCGCTCCAACGTTTCTTACTATTAAGAATCCGTATTTTCCACTTGCAACGGTATCAGCATTTATCGACGGAGAGGTGTCCCTCGAGAGAACTTGCCTTCATCATTGCTGTTCACGACTATGAAAGAGGCCCTTCAGAAATGTGCATCTTTTCAGTGGTCTTGCACCGCCGTCCTATTGATTCAGTGACTTTGACGGACGATGTGATCGTCCTTACTCAGGAAGAGGCGGCCTTGGTGAATCGTCTCAGAACGCTTTATGGCCTACCATTTAACAAACTGACATCCACCGTTCGCAGTATCGTCACAGATCGTACAAGAAAAACTAGTTTTGGACACTGTTTGCCTTGGACTGCAACCCGCAATCTCAATTGTGGCCTTGGTTGGCTTTAAAATCAGTCCATCATCCCGATCATTGGGAGTGTATTCGAAATTGAGGGTTAGTAGCCTTAAGGATCGCAAACCTGACTTGTAATCCGAGGGCACGGGTTCGAGCCTACGTAGGGACCGGCCGACCCTCGCAGTATCTTTAGCCGACGTGAGACTGGTGGTGGTTACGCGGCAGCGAAGCATCGGTACTGCGTACCGGCGTACTGCTGGTGTCTTACTTTACTAAACGACGCACTTCGTCCCTGCTTGGGCTCATCAGGCGGGGATAGCCTGATCCAAGTGTGGAACTCGGCACATTGGTTGGGAGTATGGTCATGATCACTAGGCCTTTGAGCTCTGCGAGCAGCGCATGACACATTTTGTGTCAAACACTGCAGTTTGCGGTAGTGTAAACAAGATCATAATGAGGGTCAAACTTCCGTTCGTGAGTGAATGTTCGCCCATTCAACCAATGGTTACTAAGAGACTCAAATTCCCTTGTTAACGCTGCATAAGAAAGACCAATTTTATGGGTGAACTCCAAGCGTCCGTAATCATGAAATATGCAGAAAGAGGGTAGTTCGCGTTGGCAGGGCATGTGAAGCACTCGCACTTTTTGCATTTAAGGAAGGAATTTCTTTCGCTTGACGGATGCTAGATCGATATGAGTAACCGGTGATATGGTGTGCGGAGATGACGTCAGTGATCGCTAAGCCATGTATTGGCGACCCACTTCGTGCTTGGTTCAAGTCAGAAAAGAAAAATCGAAACAGGCCTCAGTGACGAGATCGGTGTCGTCACTTAGAAAAACAGCTTGTTTGTAATGTGGGTGGATCAGAGTTACTTGCGAAGTAAGATTGATTAGAATGTGGGGCAATGAAAGAACAAAGAAAGCTATCTCACCGACGTCTTATTCTCGCATGACAGCCAGTTGCGTGTGGCTGCTGTATGTTGACAAGCAGTAGGTGCTTTGATACTGACCAATTGTATAAATCATCTAGGCAGTACATCAGGTTGTTTGTTAATTCCTCACAATGCCAATTTCTAAGCAAAGTAAGGCGGTAGAGTAGTAAAACAAAAGCATAAAGTGCAGCTGCATAGCGGTAGATAATGGTGGTGAGGAAGGAAACCAAGTAACTGCTGATGTCTAGCTGTTAATCCTGTAGATGGTGTGAAAATTCGCCCGCTTTTGATGAAAATAAGCCTAAGAAATGTTCCTGATAAAAGTTTTTCGTTCGAAATCCCTAGCAAAACATGTTGCACAAGAGGAATTGTAAGAGAAACGCATTCTCAAAATATAAAAACTCACCGTTGGAAGAGGGCGCACTGATTTTGATTGTGTGCTGATGAATCCATAACGTTCAAATACCGATAACCGTTCCTCAGCACTAAGTTTCTCAGAGCACGCATCGTGCGCTCCATCATTTTTAACATAGGGGAATAAATTAGTGCTTTGAGGTTCGCACGCCTTCACGGTCTGTTTGGATAGATCAGGATACTTGGCTGAACTTCGTGAATTTTTAACGCATTTGCTAGAACGCGGGATAGCAACGTCTGTAGTCGTCTTACGTCCATCCGACCCAGTGCGATATAGCTGTGGAAGAAGTGAGTAAATCAGTTAACAACATTGTTACATACGCCACTGCAGGCATCAAGCGCCACAAGTTGCCGATCTAGAACTCAAATTCAAAGGTAATCGGTAGATATGCGCGCCGCCGAAGAGTTACGATACGGTGAAACGGTTGCCTGACATTCGTCCAGATGTGCGGTGGCCAGATATTTGGGTCCAGTCGTGGGATTCCCCAAACTCTATACGACTAAACTGGAGGAAAAAGCAAGCATATTTCCGATATATATATATATACATATATATATATATATATATGTATATATATCTGGTTGGCGGTATCCGGTTTCGGATTTGCCTGTCACTGTGGCCAGCCACAGGACGCCTGCGCCTACAGAGGGACCATGGATGGCTTGCGCTGCACCACCCACAGCTCCAACCACACACCCCATATCCAGTGTAAACGCGAAGGAATAAGACCGAGAGGCATGTGGATGGGAGCCACGGTTCATCAATGGAGACGGCTCGCACTCCTTCACAGGCAAACACAAGCACGCTGTATTTGGGGAATCAAGTGCACACAAAATGGTGGCTGCACCATAGTCCGCTCCACACTGACTGAATTGAACCACTCTTCGACCCTAGCACGACCACAAGGACCGTGCACCCTGTCCCCTCCAGCAACGACCAGCTGTCTCCTGGAGCCAGATGGACGAGGTAGTGGGTAATGGACAGGTAGGCACCTTGTCAGCATGCACATCAAGCGCTGCCACACCGGGGATATCAAGCAACAGCCAAACACTTAAAATGCCGATATCGAATAAAGTAAACGCATATGACGACATAAATACTCGCTAAATGAGCATATAGAAGAAATTGGTTATAAGCGAATCCGTGATAAGTACAAAATGTCCGAGTTATTTAAAAATATACCATGCGATATAATTACGCAAGTTTACCACAATTTGCATGAGCGATGTGTGCAAGTTGGGAGAAAATTATCAAGTACGTAGAACAAACCAAATAAAGTGGAATGAAATTTATCCAGCTTAAAAGTGTAAGTTGGTTTAGCCCAACTGCGGTGAAGAAGCATCATGAATGCTACATGAGCCTCAGCATATATATATATATATATATATATATATATATATATATATATATATATATATATATATGACCTAGTTCAAGAACTGTGTCCAGCATCACGCGCTTTGTGCTCAGATGAGCTGTTAGGTTGCCGTCTGGAGTATCTGGAACATCTAGCCCAGTTTGTCACTCATGACTCACATGTATGCATTACCACACCTGAGAAAATCAGTTAGCAGCACACACGGAAATAATGTTCCGTGGGCATTTCGTAGCTGCACATATAGGCGACCCAATGTTAACTTTACAACCGAGTTACCTAGAGGAATCCGGATTAGAGTAGAGCAAGGCGGATTAGCCACGTTGGTTCGCTCTTGCTTTCAAGTGTAGCTATTTGACGGAAATAGATTACCAGGCTATCATAGTGTCAGTCGAAATTTTATGTCACGAATTACATGAAATATTTTGCATTTATGATGGTTTTGCCAACAAATATGCTATGGTCTAAGATAGAAGAAAAACAATCGCCGGAAAGCTTACCTTTGAGAAATGTGAATCAAGACCTTTGGACGAATTTTCACGACTGACTTTAATGACAGAGCATGCGGTCATGGTGCCTGATGTGCGGAAAATCAGTAAAAGGATAACTAAGAGACAGATCCAGAAGAAAACTGAACACGCACAAGCGCCTAACTTTCGGATCGGAAAGGCAAACCGAAGTGAACTCAATGGCAAATATACTCATTTGTCCAACTCAAGAACAAGACATAGATCATTAGTACAACGTTTGAAAAGCGTGAAACAAACCCGCTAAGCAGAAGCTACCAAGAGGAATGGGATTCTCGATCGCCGTCAAGTAAATAAGACAAAAATTATGTGACAAAATGCCACGAGCAACAGTCGCTGACGATTCTCTCCACCTGTGAGTGAAAAATCGATGCACCAGCACACTTCATCGAAGGTAGTTTAATACGATCGGAATGAAAACCACGATGACTATCGATCTTCAAGTATCAGTGAAAGTGAAGACGAAGTTTACACAATCTGTGAAGCGGTAAAGCGGTTACGAGCTTCAAGGAATCGAGTGTTTGGAGGGCCATTGGCAAAAAGCAACCTTAGCATCACCACCCCCAAAGGCAGATCATCAGCCATTTGAACTGATGCGATGCTGTCGTACAACCACGGTGAATGACGGAATGAAGTAATAACAGGGAGAAGTAGGACCTATCGGAGAATCTTAATACCCTAAACAAACATTCCGAGCCATCTGAAAAATCACCGTAGACTCTGACACGACCTGTGGTGTTCGAGTATAGAGCACGTAAAATCTTCACATATTTTATGGGAACACTTTTCCGCACAAGTATCTCCAACAGAATGATTCGATCGACCGAGTCGAACGCATTCATAAAATCGAGGAACAGAGCTAATGTCAGTCTGCGGAATGTGTGGCGCTGCTCTATCACTTGCCGCAGAGCGAATGTATGGTCTATAAAGCCCCGACCTTGGCGGAAACCTGCTTGCTCTTCCGTAATCCGACGTGCCCATTCCACAGTAAGGCGACAAGCGAGAATCGAGGCTAGTAATTTTGTCACAACGGAGGTTAGGCTAATACCCCTGTGATTACCACAGCCTGTGACTGCCCTTCTTGTATGTTGTCACCATAATTGATTCATTTCCGTTAGTTGGGATTGTCCCTTCATTTCAAACCTGTTCGAACAGGGCGGTCGGCGCACTGCAGAGAACCTCACCATTATCCTTAAATAATGCGGGTGCGAAAGAATCCGGGCCAGCATCACGAAAACGATTAGGGGTTGCGATAGCGTTTGTAAACTTAGTCTCCGACGGAGCCGCTAAACCAATCGTCCATGGCTCATCTTGCATCACATGATTAGGAAGAGGTCCGGAAGCAGGGGGCCAACTAAACTGATCTGGAAAGTGCACCGCCCAACAAGCCAGTGGGCGTTCCTTAAGATGAATCAGGACAACCATGCGATCCATGATTGTCTCACTGAGATCTGGATTACTGGGACCCGTGGTGTAATTCAAATGAAGGAGCTTGCGAAACGTACCGACTGCTCTAGCCTCCTCGATTACTTGAGTGCTGCTGGTCCATCAGGCTTCCTTATCAACACACAGGCTCCACTTTAGTTCACGCTTAATACTCGGGCTAGTTATGTTATGTTGAAAACAAGCAGGGAGTTGCTTATGGATGCAAACAGGCTCACCGACCTTTCAGATATCCACTGAACGGTGCGATGACGATTAATAGTGCCGCAAGCCGACGTTCATGCATAGTGGATGGCGGCCCAGATCCTATTCCACTAAAACTCATTATCTTTAGGAAGAGAGAGCGAATGCTCGGTGCGAAGAACACACTGCTAGGCCTTGCTGACCGAGGGCTGTGAGAAATTCTCAGTTGGCAATTGAGGAAGACACTTGATACATCTCCCGGTGAAGTTCAGAAAAAACAACATACCGAAGCATGATTAGAGTTGGGACAAGACACCGAAACGAGCGACAATCTAGGACGGAGCCATGCCAACTGTAACTTATGGCAACATGATATATTTGGATTCATCGCTGGTCAGCTTTAGAAAGACGCAAAGTGGAACTTTGACGCCCACTGTGCCTAAAAGCGGTGCTCCACACACGGTGGTAACAGGCGCTCGACTTCGTCCGGACGGTCGGAGATAAGTCCATACATACCACCCAGCTGAGCATCTGAAGAGATAAGGTGGCCTGCTTGCGCATTTATATTCCTTGCAACAACAACACTATCTGGACTGGTCATACCGCGAAGCAGCATGCTCAGTTCGCCGTAAAATATGTATTGGCGGCTTTTAAGCTGCAGTCAGCGGGAGGATAAGCGGAAATCACAAACAAACAGCGAATAGCGCTACCTCGCGAATCAACCTTAATCGATGTCAAACGGGCTGCACACAAAAGCATGTTCACGGGAATCCGATGAATCGACGATGCCTCAGCCTTGGAACTGAGAACGATGCCTATACCAGTTTAACCAGTGATTGCCGCTACAGCATTTCCGGATGTGTGCAAGTAGCCGGGCGCAGTCAATTCAACAATCCCAGGAGGATCATTAATTTCGGGCACACACAAGCCAATACCCAGTGTGCCCAAGGTGAGTGCGAGTGCAGTCTGTTGACGAGCGAATAGAACGCGACGTGACAGACTGTCAGCTGCCATGCGTAGGACGTGACCGAGCAATCACAACTGGCGCAGCAAAACCAGTTTGCTGAAGGGAATACTCGCATCCCCAAGATGCGACGCCGAATGTCATTACTATTAATTCGTTGTAGCCACCAAACACGAGCAATCCTCTTCAAGCAACCGTTATCGAAGGCGGAAAGACGACGTATGTCATCCACGCGAAGTGGCCAGGACTCGCACACATACAACAACACCGAGGAGCTGTAAACGCGGACCTATAGCGAGAATGAGACGTCGCGACGACAGCACAAGTGCTTTAGATTGGCAAATGCTGATCGGGCTTGAGCGATACGAAGAGAAACTTCTTTGCTGATAGGGTCGTCAGTAAAAACACAGCTCCCAAGGTAGACGAAACTATCTACCTGTTCAAGTTGTGCACCTTCGAGAGTGAGCACCGGAGCAAGTGAAAGCCAATCCTTGAGCAGCACTCTACACTTCGATGGGGCGAAGCTCATGTCATACTTAGATGCTGGAATTGCCAAACGATGCAGAATGAGTTGCATACCCTGAGGAGCGTCACCAAGTAAGGCGATATCATCAGCATATTAAATGTCGGTCGCGCGCTCACCCGGTAGAAGCTCTAGGCCAAAATGTTGGAAACCTTCTAGAGCACTCCACAGAACGTCTTCGATTGCGAAGTTGAAGAGGAATGAGCACTTAGGGCAGTCCTGTCGTGCACCGCTGTTGACAGCGAATTGCGAGGAAAGCTTGCCATAGACCCTCACTCTGACGGATGTATGAAGATAAAGCTGGCGGTATATTTCTCTGGCACCCCGTTATTTACCAAGCAACGCCATAAAACAGGTCGATCAAGGGAGTCAAAAACGGCACATATGTCTAGGACTGCAACGATAGTGGGCCTGTGATAAATGTGGCGATGTCCGAGGAGCTGGCGGAGCGTGAAGATTTGATCCACGCATCCGCGGTCAGGACGGAAACCAGCTTGTTCTGCACGATAGTATGATTCACGTACGAAGAAGAACTGATGCCAATAGTTTGGAGGCAACCGAAATAAGACTAATCTCGCGATGATTTACACATGAAGTGCGAGCGCCTTTCTTGAAAATCGGGACAATAACTGATTTGCCCCAAGAAGAAAACACCTCCTCTTTATGCCAGGTTTTTGAGAACAGCGTCGTCAACCCGTTAATGATCGCCACACCGCCGTACTTGACTAGCTCCTGAGGAAGTCCGGCTGAGCCGGCAGCCTTGAATCGCTTCAAGCGTCGAATCTCGAGGCAGACTTCCGCGTCTCTGGGTGGATTCAGTGGGACGAGCCAGGGTGGACAACAACGTGTACTGCATGTACCGATGGACGGTGGAGGCCAGTTGAACTGCTCGGCCCAGCGGTCCACCCTCCTTTGATGGTTGGTGATCAGAGACTCATCCGCCTTGCAAATTACCTCAATGACACCAGGCTTCCTGAGGACAGTGGTCTGATAGCTCGTCTGGACAGAGGAATCAGTGATTCTGTTTACATCAATCTTGCGGTGCTTCGTGTTCCAGGACCCCCAAAACACATGCAGATTTGCGCGCAGACCAGTGCATAAACTGAGTCAACGAAGGTGGACCAAAAGGACCTACAGTCCAGTGCGCTGCCGCGCCATCTGAAGCTAATTGCAATGTGATCACTACTACGGAAGTGTCGGCGAAGGGGGATGCCAGGTTGCGGAACGCTTCTTCGTACTCCTGAAGTTAGTGCTTGAAAGAAACAGGCGGTTGTCTTCGCATAATGTGAGAAACCGTTCTCCGTTATCAGAGCGGTTCTCATCGAGCGCGTGATGACCACCGAGGTGGCGTTCGTATGGTAACAGGCGGCCAACCCGTGCCTTAAAATCCCCAGTAAGGATAACGACATCCGACATTTAGCATTAGTCAAGAGCTGTTGTAGATCCCGGTAGAATTCATACTTGACCGAGTCGCCACTGCAGTCAGTTGGAGCGTACACGGAGATCACAAACAAGTTGCGCCTCCCTTTGCGGTGCCTGTTGATTCTACATGAACCACGAAGCCGAACTGCTGTCGGTTGTTAAGCGGGAACCAGTTCAGTAGTGCCGCAACGGTCTTGCCACTTAGTGCTATACGTACACCAGCCAAAGCCGCTGAGGCTGCTTCTGGATCTCCACATACACGCAGGTGATATCTGGCTTCGTGGTCAGTGGGGGATGTCAATGTAAGCACAGTGCTGGGATCCTGAAACCGGGTTTCTGAAAGGCAGCAGACATCAATGTCTAGGGAATCTAGGATGCGCGCTAGACCGGTTTGCTGTCCAATCTGCGTGAGTATCCGAAGATTGAAGAACGCCAAACGGAACGAGGATCGGGGACAAAGAACAATAGGTTGAACTCCGTGGTCTGCGGCGCAACCGGAATCGCAGCCAG